TTCTGATACAGAGCTGTGGGCTAAAGTGGGCTCGGAGGCAATGATGACCAACATGTCTCAGCAAGAGCACAGCCATCTGGGGTTCCAGTCTGGACGGAAGTCATGCCCAAAGGTTTTCATTTTATTCATCTATGTTGGAGCCCAGGCATGTGCAGTGGGGTCAGAATCCACCACCCTAAAAGGCTGTGTACAAATAATGTGGAAAAACATTCAGCCTCACTAGCCATCAAAGAAATTCAAAATAGGTCGGGTGTGGTGGCTCAGGCCTGTAATCCCAGCACTTTGGGAGGCCAAGGCGAGTGGATCATCTGAGGTCAGTAGTTTGAGACCAGCCTGGCCAACATGGCGAAACCCTGTCTTTACTAAAAATACAAAAATTAGCTGGGCGTGGTGGCACATGCCTGTAGTCCCAGCTACTTGGGAGGCTGAGGCAGGAGAATCACTTGAACCCAGGAGGCGGAGGTTGCAGTGAGCCGAGATCGTGCCACTGCACTCCAGCCTGGATGACAGAGCGAGTCTCCATCTCAAAAACAAACAAACAACAACAACAACAAAAAAGAAATTCAAAATAAAATGACAAATGAGTAATTTCTGTCTATAAGTGCACTTAAAAATAATAGAATATGTTGAACAAAGAAGTCAGACACAAAAGAGTATGAAGCTGCCCCAACAAGGTTGACAGGAAGTACATGCTGGGTTCTGGACAGCAATATAATTATGATAAAGCATTAATCGGGCTTCACTTTGGTCCACTTCCTTGTTGCTAAAAGTCACACAGCATTAGATACTGATCATTTGCATCCCCATTGTTCCTATAGACAGGACCTCTAACATTAGAATCCCAGCAGGGATTATAGGAAGCTGAGGCAGGTGGATCATTTGAGATCAGGAGCTCAAGACCAGCCTAGCCAACATGGTGAAACCCCATCTCTATTAAAAATATAAAAATTAGCCAGGCAGTAATGGCATGCGCCTGTAATCCCAGCTACTCGGGAGGTTGAGGCAGGAGAATCGCTTGAGCCTAAGAGGTGGAGGTTGCGATGAGCCAAGATGAGGCCACTGCGGTCCAGAATCTGGGCAAGAGAGTGAGATCCTGTCTCAAAAAACAAACAAACAAACAAACGGAATTGCTTAAGATGTTTTTCAGAAACAGATTCTAGCAACCAGTTTGAAGACCCCCAGAGAGGAACAGCTTCAGTATGAGAATATAGCTTCTTCATCTCCCTGTCCCATGACTTCACCCTGGACTTTTTGACCTGTTAACCATCTTCACATTTTGGCCCAATCCAAAACCCTTAAAAACCCTGACCCTAAGTTCCTCAAGGAGACGGGTTTGAGGTTTCCTCCCATCTCTTCATTTGATGACTCTACGATTAAACCTCTTTCTCTGCTGCAACCCAATGGCTTGGTATATTGACTTGCTGTGTGCATTGGGCAACAAACCTATTATGGTTACAATTACATGTAATGTAATTCCATTTAGAAGAAATTCCAGGACAGGCAGAAATCAGAACAGTGGCAACTTGGAGGGAGGTGGGAAAAGCAGTAGGTGCAGATCAACTGCAAACAGGTCATAGAGGACTTTAAGGGACAGTGGAAATATTCTGTATCTTTTTTTTTGGAGATGGAGTCTTACTGTGTCATTCAGGCTGGGGTGCAGTGGCATGATCTTGGCTCACTGCAATATCTGCCCCCTGGGCTCAAGTGGTCCTCCTGCCTCAGCCTCCCAAGTAGCTGGGACCACAGATGTGCACCACCATGCCTGGCTAATTTTTGTATTTTTGGTAGAGACAGGGTTTCACCGTCTTGCCTGGCCTGGCCTTGAACTCCTGAGCTCAAGCAATCTGCCCACCTCCGCCTCCCAAAGTGTTGGGATTACAGGCGTAAGTCACTGCGCCTGGCCCTGTTCTGTATCTTCATTGGGGTGGTGGCAATATGGACACAAACATTTGTCAAAACTTACCCAATTGTATATTTAAAAATCTTTGCATATATTATATGCAAATTATATCTCAAACAAAGAATATTGGGGAAAATTTCATCAGAACCTCTGTCCCGCATCAATACTAGACTCAATGCTAACGAGGATGTGGTAAAATTGCTACTCTTACATAATGAAGGCAGAAAAATGTGGTAGCGTCAGAAGTATTTGAACCAGAGCAACTCCATCTTGACTAAGGGTTGGGTAAAATGAGAATGAGACCTGCTGGGCTGCATTCTCATGAGGTTAGGCATTCTTTTTAGTCTCGCTTTGTCGCCCAGGCTGGAGTGCAGTGGTGCGATCTCGACTCACTGCAAGCTCCGCCTCCCTGGTTCACGCCATTCTCCTGCCAGGAGCTCGCCACCACGCCCGGCTAATTTTTTGTATTTTTAGTAGAGACGAGATTTCACTGTGTTAGCCAGGATGGTCTTGATCTCCTGACCTCGCGATCCGCCGGCCCCGGCCTCTCAAAGTGTTGGGATTACAGGCGTGAGCCACCGCGCCTGGCTGAGGTTAGGCATTCTTAAATCACAGGATGAGATAGGAAGTTGGCACAAGATACAGGTCACAGAGATCCCAGTGATAAAACAGGATACAGTAAAGAAGCCAGCCAAAACCCGCCATAACCAAGATGGCAATGAAAGTGACCTCTGGTCGTCCTCACTCCTCATTATATGCTAATTATAATGTATTAGCATGATAAAAGACACTTCCATCAGCGCCATGACAGTTTACTAATGCCATGGCAACATCTGGAAATTACCCTATATAGACTAAAAAAAAGAGGAACCCTCAGTTCTGGTAAATTCCTGTCCCCTTCCCAGAAAGCACATGAATAATCCACCCCATATTTATAATCAAGAAATAACCATAAAAATAGCCAGCCAGCAGCCCTCGGGGCAGCTCTGTCTATGGAGTAGACATTCTTTTATTTCTTTACTCTCTTAGTAAGTTTGCTTTTCCTTTACTGTTTAGACTCGCCCTGAATTCTTTCTTGCATGATTTCTAAGAACCCTCAATTGGGGTCTGGGTTCAGGACCCCTTTTCAGTAATAGTAGGATACTTCGGAATGTTTGTCAACACATTTTAAGATCTATAGTTCTATAAAAATAAATTTAAAAATGAAAAATATAATACCAAAATGATTTTTTTCCAGCATTGTTTTGAATAAAAATATTCAACCATCAGACCAGTGAGTAATTCTTAACCAAATTAGGATTATGTTGTGAGAGTTAATTCCAGCAGGTCTAGGATTAACCTAAACTGTTTTGCTAAAGTGCCTGTTTGGCACTGACTGTTGGTCAAGCATATTACAGAGGGAAACAGAAAGATTAAAATAGTCTGTGGCTTCATAACCTCAGGTCCAAGTTGTTTCATGGCAGTTTGTATCAGTTTATCAGCATTGTTTTTTGATAACAGTGATAATGATGATTTGCACCTGGTCTCGTTGAGACCCCCAAGAAGTCTTTGCTCTTGAAGCAGGTTACATGGCAGGAATATGCTTATGTGAACAACAGAATATAAAAAATATTTAATAAAATCTCAGCTGAGACTTGGTTTTTTACCAGGGCTCCCTGGTTGTGAGGTGGTCAATGCACACATGAGTGGTTCCTGATCTCAGGAAGTACATCCAGCCACAGCCCTTACAGAGGGAACACGGCCCTTACAGAGGGAACACACTGACTTCTCTGGACCCCTTGCTGTGAAACACACATGGGCTCTAACGCATATTCTTCCTCTAATGCTGTTTCTATATTATACCCTATTCCTGAAATAAGGTATACATTTGTTAGCACTGTAATTTTAGGTTCTGTTAGTCTGTTAGCAGTTGTACCCTGTTTAACTGCTGCTGTTAGTGCAAGGGCATATCAACTTCATGAAATATTAAGTTATATGGAAATAGCAAATTTGAAGACTATAGCAACAAAGCACAATGCTTATCAGATGATATTAAGAGAAAGACAGTATAAAACTTTTATAAAAGCTATGATAATAAAACCATAAAATTACGTTTATTGACAAGACACTAGGAGTGAACTTGGGAGAATGTCTGCATAAGTTTTGTTTCATTCAAAAATTTTATACTGATCACAGCTGAGAGGTGTGCCATAAATAATTATGAAAAAAATATTGCACTGGGCACAGTGGCTTACGCCTGCCTATAATCCCAGCATTTTGGGAGGCCAAGGAAGGAGGATCACTTGAAGCCAGAAATTTGAGACCAGCCTGGCCAATATAGTGAGACCCCTGTCTCTATAAATAAAAATTAAAAAGTGAGCTGGGTGTGGCTGCACGTGACTGCAGTCCCATCTACTCAGGAGACTGAGGTGGGAGGATCACTTGAGCCCAGGAGGTTGAGGGGACAGTGAGTTGTGATTGTGCCACTACACTCCAGCCTGGGTGACAGAGTGAGATACTATCTGAAAAAAGAATTTTTTTTTTGCAGTGTTGTTTCATTATATGTAAAATGAAAAAAAAATTAACTGCCTAAAAGCCAAATGTCATTTTACCTTTGGACAATGGTATTAGACTGATATACATATATGTATATACGTATGTATGTATAGAAAGAGAGAGTATTTAAGTATCATATATGTCACAGATATATCATTATATATGACACCTATATGATATACATATTACTAATATTCTGTGTCAATTCTCTAAAATAAAAAAAAGCTCTTTAAATGAGGAGAGGGTGGTTCAGGCTGAGGAAAGTGTGTGAGGTGAAAAAAAGTGTGAACGCAAGTGAGAAGGGTGTATTTGGGGAAAAATAAGTTCAGTATCATCAAAGCTCAATGAATGGTAATTCCCTTCTCCTTCCCTCTCTTGAGAAGAAATTAGGCCCCACATCCCTAGGAAAAGCCCTATGGATAGCACTTTTGGAAACAGGAATTTTATTATGGCCCTCTTGAAAGGCTGCTTCAGTGAGCAGCGCACTATTTAGCCCTAGAGCTGGCTCAGCAAGAAATAACTACTCTACATAGTTTTCTTCCAAAGAGAACTTGTCTTTGTTTACCTCACATGGACATTAAGCAGCTTCAATAATCGCAAATATTCTTCACGTAGAGCTTCCTTCTCTTGCTGTAGCTTAGACAGCTTCTCTGACAATTCTTGGTTGCTTTTGACATCCTGAAAAACATTGGAAAATAATGAGAACTCTGACCTGACAAAGGTATGATGTTGAAGAAATGAAAAGTCTTTCTGGTTAAAAAAAAAAAAAAAAAAAAAAAAAAAAGCTTATAGTCACTCCAGCTTCTGAGATCATAGTAGCTTCATGGGATTCCTGTACTTCCAGATTTTCTGAAAGTCAGCAACTATTTCCCTTGCCTTTTGCTTCCCCAGCCTTCCCAATAATTTTGTAAGCATCTAATTCCCTTTATTAAAAATCTTCCAAGGCTGGGTGTAGTGGCTCACACCCATAATCCCTGTATTTTGGGAGGCTGAGGCAGGCATATCACTTGAGCTCAGGAGTTTGAGACCAGGCCGGGCAGTATGGTAAAACTCCATGTCTACAAAAAAATATAAAAATGTGCAAGGTGTGGTGGTGTGTGCCTGTAGTCCCAGCTACTTGGGAGGCGGAAATAGGAGGATGGCTTGAGCCTAGGAGGCAGATGTTGCAGTGAGCTGAGATCACGCCACCACACTCCAGCCTGGGTGACAGAGCCAGACCCTGTCTCAAAACAAAACAAAACAAAAAAACAAAAACATCTCCCAGCTTAAAGTATATAAAGTGAAAGCTGTTCTCTTGAATTGATTAACTCTGATAAAGTATTTGGTTCTAGAAGTCACTACAGTGATGAGAAACTCAAAGTTAGGAATTTTGGATTGGTTATCTGACCTGGCTAGCTTTGAAGGTGATATAATCTTGTCACGAGTTCTAGCAAAAGAATCCATGGCAAAAGAATTGATTATCACTTATAGTTGCTGGTAATGAAGTACTTTGGAAGACCACATGAGTGGTATGAAAAATGTTATGATGGAATTGAGGACTACAAGGATCGTGAGGTGGGCTAGCCACATCTGACCATGTTACTGAGCTTAGAAGAAAATGTCCAACTTGGGGATTTAATTACCGGAACAAGGCATCGTCTGAGAACCACAGACCTTCTATGAGTATCCTAAAATAACTTCTCTCTTGTAGTCAGAAGACCAATATATCCAAAAACCAAATCCCAAATATCAAGTGGATTGCAGAATTACAGTACTAACTGATTTCACAGGCTTGCCAGGTCTCTTATGTGAGAAACAGGGCCGTGGGAATGTGTGGAAACCTGAGAATTGAGAATGAAGACATCTGAGAGGACTCTAATGACATTGAACCCCCAGGACCTCCAAATTCCACAGTGCCTCTCTTGCCAGCACAAGTAGGCCCTCCTCTCCTAAGGAGATTAAGTTTGAAGATTCTGTAATGATTTCACCCAAGGCACTTACCTTGTAAGGGGATGCCTATTGTCCTCGAGGCCCACCTCTATACCACCACCACTTCTCATTGTCTCTAATCCTGTAACTACAGCTGGATCCCAGCACGCCATGGTGAGTTGGGGTTAAGTGTAGGGACTGACTTGGGGACTGCCATATTGAAAGAATGGCAAGATTTTGCCAACTTAAATTAGCAGAAACTCTAGGAGTATATGCAGGAATGTATTTGTAGGGAGTTACACTAGTCAGTGCCCCTAACCCTTGAACAACATGAGAGTTAGGGGCACTGACCCCCCACACATAATTGAAAATCTGAATTATGATTTTTTTGACTCCCCACCAAATTACTAATAGCCTACTGTTAACTAGAAGTCTTATCAACAACGTAAGCAGTTAACACATATTTTGTATGTGTATCATGTATCATACTCTTGCAATAAAATAAGCCAGAGAAAATAAAATTTTATTAAGAAAATCATAAGGTAGAGAAAATATATTTACTATTCATTAAGTAGAAGTAGATCATCACAAAGTTTTTCATCCTCATTGTCTTCATGTTGAGTAGGCTGAGGAGGAGGAGAAGAGGAGGAATTGATCTTGTTATCTCAGGGGTGGCAGAGCTGGAAGAGGTGGAGAAGGTGGCAGGGAAGGCAGGAGAGGCAGGCACACTCAGTATGACTTTACAGAAATACACTGTAATTCGGCTTTTTGGCTTTTTCATTTCCCTAAAAATATTTCTATATGGTACCAATCCTTCTTTCACTGTTTGTGTTAGTTTCAGTGCCTGTATCATATAGAAAGGTCCATATTGTAAAATAAGTCAAAAGCAATCTTGAATATTTGGAATCCTTCTGCCAGATTGTCTAAGGTCAATTTGTTTTCTAATACTGCTTTTTCTGTTTTCTTCCTCATCGTGTGGCAGTGCTTATCTCCATCAAGTTGTCTTATTGTAATTCCTCCTCTGGGTGTGGTGTCTATTTGCTCTTAAATTTCTCCAAGATTCATATATTGAAACCTTGTACTCCCCACCTTTTTTTTTTTTTTTTTTAAACCATATCCACAGTCTTTTTCATGATTTCCCTGATAGGCTCTGTTGTAAATACTGTGAAGTCATGCCCACATCAGGACACAGTACTCTCCAGCAGGAATTTGTTGTTTTGGGTTTGATGGTTTTCACGGCTTTTTCTATAACAATGATGGCATCTTCATGCCTGTCACTTGCCACACAAATAAACTAAAAATGACAAAAATAAAAACAAACAAAAACAGTGATGGCATCTTCAATGGTGCAATCCTTCCAGACTTCTCTATCAGGGTTCTCTTCCATAGTTGACAATCCTTTCCATAGAGTACCCTGTGTAATGAGCCTTAAAGGGCCTTATGACCCCGGTCCAGAGGCTGAATTATAGACATGGTGTTTGGGGCTGAATTACAGACATGGTAATGAGCCTTAAAGGGCCTTATGACCCCGGTCTAGAGGCTGAATTACAGATATGGTGTTTGGGGGCAAGTAGACCGCTTTAACATCTTTGGTGTTGAACTCATGTGGTTCTGGGTGGCCAGGGGCATTTGTCTGACATCAAAAGAACCTTAAAAGGCAGTCCCTTGTTACCAAGGTACTTCTTGACTTCAGGCAGAAAGCTTAGATGGAATCAATCTAGAAAACAAGTTCTTGTTGTCCAGACCTTCTTTTTATACAACCAAATGACTGACAGCTGTTGTTTACCTTTTCCCTTCAAGGCTTGGGGATCAGAAGCTTCATAGATAAGGGCAGTTCTGACAATAAACTCGACTGCATCTGCACAAAACAGTTGAGTCAGCCTTTCCCTTCCTGCCTTAAATCCGTGCTCACTTATTTTCCTTACTAATAAATGTCCTTTGTGACTTTTTTTTTCTTCCCAGAATAGGGCACTTTCACCTGCATTCAAAATCTGTTCAGCAGATATCCTATTTCCTCAATGATTTTCTTCCTTTCTTTTTTTTTTTCTTAGAGACAAGTTCTTGCTATGTTGCTCAGGCCGATCTTGAACTCCTGGCCTCAAGTAATTCTCCTGCCTCAGCCTTCCAAAATGTTGGGATTACAGGAGTGAGCCCCTGTGCCTGGTCACAATTATTTTCTTAATGGCATCTGGGAACTCACCTGCTGTCTCTCAGTCAGCAGAAACTGCATCGCCTGTTTTCTTGACATTTTTAAAGCTAAACCTCTTCCTAAAATTAACAAACCGTCCTTTTTAAAGAGAAACCTCTTCCTAAAATTAACAAACCATCTTTTGCTGGCATTATTATTTTTTAGAGATTGGGTCTTTCTCTGTTGCCCAGGCCAGAGTACAAAGGTGCAATCATATCTCACTATAGCCTCAAACTCCTGGTCTCAAGAGATCCTTCCACCTCAGCTTCCCTAGTAGCTGCTACTTTGCTAGCTTTAAATTCTCTAACTTTAAATTCTTCACTTTCCTTTTGGTTTAAATTGTCATATAATGACTTCTCTTTTTCTTGAGTCATATTAGAATCTACAGATATGTCTTTCTTATAGTAATCCTGCACCAACATAAAAGCTGCATTTTCAATATGGATAAAAAGGTGTTTCACAACAAATGCATGGTTTTTATGCCTGCTAGCATAGCTACAGCAACAGCTTCATGAATTTGCTTTTCTTTTTTTATAATGGTCCTCATGTTGGATTCATTTATCTTGAAATGTCGAGCAACCACAGTTGCAGATCTCATCTATGGTACTTATTAAGCAATTCAGCTTTTTATTGTAATGTCATAATTTTTCTTTGTTTCTTGGCAGCATTTCCGACATCACTAGTGGCTACTTTGTATGAGTTCCATGCTGTAATTTAAGGTTTATGGTATTGCACTACACACAGTGAAAAATACTTGAGACCCATGAGAGATCTCTTTTTAATTCAACACAAAATTTACTGGCGAGAGGAGACTGCTCATGCAAAGAAGAATGGTGTCACATGGCATTTTAAGAGGATACTTGCAACATGTGAACTCACTGCAGGCCAAGGCAGGTGGATCACTTGAGGTCAGGAGTTCGAGACCAGCCTGACCAACATGGTGAAACCTCACCTCTACTAAAAATACAAAAATTAGCCAGGTGTGATGGGCGGATGCCTGTAATCACAGCTACTAGGGAGTCTGAAATGGGAGAATCATTTGAACCCGGGAGGTGGAGGTTGCAGTGAGCCGAGAGTGCACCAATGCACTCCGGCTTGGCAACAGAGTGAAAATCTGTCTCAAAATAAATAAATAAATAAACTTACTGCAATACCAAAAGGCAGGGGCTATGAAATTATTACAGCAGTACAGTGTGTACTACAGTTAATTTTATGCAGTTATGATTTAATACTGTGTCTTTACATTTATTTACCTTTCTCTCAACTGCAAATGATGCTATGTATGGTCTATAAGTGTTTGTGTGTTTTCATAAATATTAACTTTATAATAGAGTTATGTATACTTTATGGTAGTAAAGATAAAATAGATAGTATCTACATATATGCTTTCACGACGTGTCTAACTTTTTCAATGTTTCTAAGCTATATGGTTCATCTGCAAGTTTTTTCAAATTCTGGCAAATCTTCAGAAAAATTTCCAAAAGAATCTGCATGCAAATGAACCAACACAGTTGAAACCCATGTTGTTCATAGTCAACTGTAATGTTAAATAGGCTGAATTTATTAATATGAATGCACTTCT